CACTGCCATCACCAACACCATTACCACCACCACTACCTCTGCCACCAGCACCGTCACCACCACCTCCACCACCATCACCACCACCTACCACCAGCACCATCACAACCACAACCACTTCCACCACCACCATCACCACCACCTCCGCCACCATCACCAACAGCACCACCACAAGCACTATTACCACCACCTCCACCACCAACACCATTACCACCTCCACCTCTACCACCACCAACACCACCACCTCTACTACCAGCACCGTCACCACCACCTCCACCACCAGCACCGTCACCACACCTCCACCACCAGCACCGTCACCACCACCTCCACCACCAGCACCATCACCACACCTCCACCACCAGAATCGCCACCTCCACCACCACCACTACCACCAGCAGACCCACCACCATCACAAACACTTCCACCAGCACCACCATTGCCACCACGGCCACCACCATCACCACCACTTCCACCACTAGCACCATTACCACCACCAGCACTATCACCACCACCACAACCACCACCCTACCAGCACTAATACCACCAGCACCACCACCAGCACCATCTCCACCCTTAGCACCACCTCCACCACCAGCACCATCACCACTACCTCCACCATTAAAACACTGCCACCACCAGCACTATCACCGCCACCTCCACCACCAGCACCACCACCTCCACCAACAGCACAATTACCCCCACTACCATTACCACCACCACAACCAACACCACCACCACCACAACCTCCGCAACCAGCGCCATCACCACCACCAGCACCGTCACCACCACCACCACCACCTCCACCATTAAAACACTGCCACCATCAGCACCGTCATCACCACCTCCACCACCACCACCACCTCTACAACCACCTCCACCACTGTCACACCTCTACCATCAGCACCACTTCCACCACCATTAAAACACTGCCACCAACACCACCACCAGCACTATCACCACCACCATCACCACCCCCACCACCTGCACCACCATCAAATCATTGCCAACAATACTGTTACCGCCACTGCCAGCACCAGCACTATCACCACCATTAAAACACTGCCACCACCAGCAACATCTCCAGCACCATTACCACCACCACCTTTACCACCATCCCTACCAGCAGCACCGTCACCACCACCTCCACCACCAGCACCACCATCAGCATCATCAACACCACCTGCACCACCACCACCACCAATACCATCACCAGCACTATCACCACCTCCACCTCCAGCACCACCTCTATCACCATCACAAACACTTCCACCACCGCCGCCACCATTACCACTACTGACACCAGCAGCACCAGCACCACCACCTCCAAAATCCAACACCATTACCACCACTGCACCACCTCCACCCCCAGCACCACCTCTACCACCAGCACTATCACCATCATATCCACAACAACCACCACCTCCACCTCCACCACCAGCACTATCACCACCACGAGCATCACCAGCAGCACCAGCTCCACCTGCACTACCACCACCACCACTGCCACTACCTCCACCCTCTACCACCGGCACCGTCACCACCACCTCCACCACCACCACCGCCACCACCACCAGCACTATCACCACCTTCACCACCACCACCGCTACCACCACCAGCACTATCACCACCTCTACCACCAGCACCAGCACAACCACCATCACTACACCACCACCACATCCATCACCATCACCAGCACCACCTCCACCAACAGCACTATCACCACCATCCCACCACTACCACCAGCACCATTACCACCACCTCTACCACCTCCACCACTAGCACCACCACCACCACCACTACCTCCACCACCATTACCACAACTGCCACCACCAGCACCATTACCACCACCACCACCTATACCACCTCCACCACCTCTACCAGCACCACCTCCACCACCTGCACCACCACCTCTACCACCATCACCACTACCACCACCGTCACTACCACCACCACCGCCATTAAAACACTGCCACCACCAGCACTGTCTCCACCACCACCACCACCTGCACCACCTCCACCACCACCCTCCACCACCACCACCACCTGCACCACCTCCACCACCACCACCTCTACTATCACAAACACTGCCACCACCAGCACCATCACCACCACCTCCAACACCCCTTCCACCACCACCATCACCACCACCACCAGCATCAGCACCTCCACAACCAGCACCATCACCTGCACTACCAACACCACCACTATTACCACTACTAGCTTACCACCAACACCACCACAACCACCACCGCCATCACCACAACCACCACTACTAGCACTTCCACTACCACTTCCACCACCAGCACTATCACACAAGCACCATCATCACCACCTCCTTCACCATGACCACCACCAGCACCACCACCTCCACAACCAGCACGATCACCACCAACATCAACACCACCACTATTACCACCAGCACCACCTCCACCAACAGCACCATCACCACCTTCACATACACCTCCATCACCATCATCACCACCACCACCGTCAGCACCACCTGCACTACGACCATCAACACCATCACCACCGCCACCACCACTACCACCTCCACCACCAACACCATGACTATTACTAACAAAACCATCACCACCTTCACCACCAACACCATAACCACCACCTCCACCACCACCACCTCCACTAGCACCATCACCACCAACACCACCACCTGCACCATAGCCTCCACCACCACCATCACCACCACCAGCCCCATCTCCTTTAGCACCTCCACCACCAGCACCACAACCACTCCCACCACCACCACCATTAAAACACTGCCACCACCAGCACCCGTTACCACCACCTCCTCCACCACCTCCACAAACAGGACCAGCGCCACCTCCACCTCCACCTCCACCACCATAATCAGCACCTCCGCCAGCGCCACCAACAGCACCAGCAATAACACCACAACCTCCACCACCACCACTTCCACCAGCACCACCAGCACCATCATAACCACCAGCACCATCACCTCCACCAGCAGCAGCACCACCACATCCAGCACCATCGCCACCACCATCACTATCACCACCAGCACCACCACCACCTCCATAACCACCAGCGCCACCACAACCTCCACCTCCACCAGCATCACCACCATCACAACCACCACCACCATAGCCACCACCTCCACCACCAGCATCATCATCACCAGCGCCATCACAACCACTACCACCTCCACCACAAGCAACAGCACCACAACCTCCACCTCCACCACCATCACCGCGACCACCTCCACCACCATCTCCATCACCAACTCCACCACTAGCACCACCACAACCTACAGCACCACCACCTCCACCACCATCACCGCGACCACCTCCACCACCATCTCCATCACCAACTCCACCACTAGCACCACCACAACCTCCAGCACCACCACCTCCACCACCATCTCCATCACCAACTCCACCACTAGCACCACCACAACCTCCAGCACCACCACCTCCACCACCATCTCCATCACCAACTCCACACTAGCACCACCACAACCTCCAGCACCACCACCACCTCCACCATCTCCATCACCAACTCCACCACTAGCACCACCACAACCTCACCACCACCATCTCCATCACCAACTCCACCACTAGCACCACCACAACCTCCAGCACCACCATCTCCATCACCACCAACTCCACCACTAGCACCACCACAACCTCCAGCACCACCACCTCCACCACCATCTCCATCACCAACTCCACCACTAGCACCACCACAACCTCCAGCACCACCACCTCCACCACCATCCATCACCAACTCTGCCAACTAGCACCACCACAACCTCCAGCACCACCATCTCCATCACCAACTCCACCACTAGCACCACCACAACCTCCAGCACCACCACCTCCACCACCATTTCCATCACCAACTCCACCACTAGCACCACCACAACCTCCAGCACCACCATCTCCATCACCAACTCCACTAGCACCACCACAACCTCCACCACCACCACGAAGCAGAGAACAGGTCCCTTGAATAGCGTTCTTCTGTTCACCTGCAGAGATAGAAATGTACACCCCAACCCGAACAGTTATACTAGCTGTTATATACCTCAAAATGTATTGAATCTGCATAGCCGTAGTTCTGTGAGAGAGGGACGGAAAATGGTATAAGATATACACATAAGGGAACTGGTTTCCTGCCAGTAGATTAGGGAGGTAGATGGTAGAATGGAAAGGATGAAGAAGCAGATATAAGGGACTTTTGTAATGTCTAGGGTTATTTCATTTAGGAAGTTTTGTTATGATAAGGATAATAATATTGATATCATTATTATTGTTATTGTTATTATCATTATTATAGTTATTATAGATATTGTTTTTATTATAATAATCACTGTTATTATTATTATTATTGTTAGTATTTTTTTTAGCAACATCATTATTATCATTATGATAATCTTAGTACTGTTTTTATTATTAGTTTTCTTATTTTTAAATGATAGATCAAAGTTACAATAATCATTTTATATTATTATTGTTCCTATTATAATCATTATTATTGCTGGATTCATGGGTATGAAAGTACACATAGGTGCAAGCACAAGTACAATCACACATGTAATATACAGAAGAACTGAACCCTTGTAAGTAGGTAGGTAGGTAAATAGGTGGGATTTGAATATGTGAACATTTTAATGTGATTTAAGGACAAGTGAGGGAATGACTGGTCGCCAGCAAATGAACCGCTGAACAAAGGAATAAGAAGACAGAGAAGATCATGAAAATCCTGGAGGGGACAGGGATGAACGGACAGACATTGGGAGTAAATGGACAGATAAGGGGAATGGATTGCAATGAAGCTCTCGCTTTCCTCTTTCCCTTTCTTTCCAACTCCTCTTCCTACACTTCCTCAGTTTCCTTCCCCACCTTTCCCACTCCCCTTCCTTAACTTCCACGACTTTGCCTTCTCCCCCTGTTGCTTCGCCTTTTCCTTCTATCCCATTGTCTTCTCCTCCTTCCCTTGCCTCACCCGTGGTCCGTCCTCCAAAGAGTGAAGAAGGCGCTGCTGCAGTCCAGTGCCATCTTGGAGGCCTTTGGCAATGCCGAGACCAACCGCAGTGACAACTCCTCCCGCTTTGGCAAGTACATGGACATCAACTCTGACTTGGTAGCCACGCACAGAGTTACCTGCTGGAGAGGTCCCGTGTCGTCCTCCAGCAGCCAGGAGAAAGAAACTTCCACTCATCCTATCAGGTATGGAACCTTTTTTTTTTTTATTCTTTTTTTGGGGGGGGGCGTGTAAATCAGTTTATTTTGGTATTTCATATTGAATTGAGACATCTTTTCAATTCAAGTAGTATCTTTATGCTTTATGGCAGTGCTAACAAAATGGAGTGATGATCCTAGTTTGCCTGTTATCTATTTCTATTTTATTTTTATTATTATTATTATTATTATTATTATTATTATTATCATCATCAGTATTGGTATCATCGTTATTAGTATTACTGTTATGTTTATGGTTATTGATATAATTGTTTTTTCTTTTTTTTTCAATAGCAATGATGCCACTGCACAGGTTATTGATTAAAGATGAAATACTGAAAAGATAATGCTTAGTCCCTCGCCTCCTAACTCTCTGATTCCACCACAGGGTGACATGAATTCACTTCTGGGGGTGATGTGTCGCCGGTCAGGTGACCAAGGCACTATGCCGTCGCGTGATTGCAGCGAGAGGCGAGGTCATGGAGAAGCGGCACACAGAGAGCGAGGCCAGCTATGGGCGTGATGTCAAGTCATAGGCAGCCTCCTTAATCACATTTGGTGAGCGAGTGATTTAGCGAGTAGTAGTTGAGTCAGGAGACAAAGGACGTTGATCTCCAGGGTAAGGGATGAATTTTTTATTTGGGTGGAAACTGCAGTCCATGGTGTTGAGAGTACATCTGACAAGTTGATAATTGTGTTCTAACTCCCGTCTTTCTTTATATCTCTGTTATTCTCTCTCTACTTTATTTCAAATATTAATTGTAGTATGGGTTTTATCCGCTGCTATTTGAAGAAGGAAGGAGCCATTAAAGGCACCTTGAATACCGCGCATAACTCTTACAGGTGATCGCTGGAGACGTCCTCGTGGGGAACGGCAGAGTGGGGAGTGCGAGGGACGGAGGGGGAGACGCCTCGGCATCCGCGAGAGGAAGCCCAGGTTCCTCTGCGTCCCGGTCTGCTGCCAGGAACACGATGGACGAAGGTGGGTTCAGGGAGGCGAGTTGCTGCACGGCGCGGTCGAAGTCCTGTCTCCTCCCGGCTCTTCTTGCTCATTGGGGATTGGGGATTAAAAGTCGTCCTTCCAGTATCTAGTTATGCATATGATTTTAAATGATTTTAGCAATTTTTTGTAAAATTCATGTAAATGTGCAAGTAAATTAATGAACCAAAAAAGAAAAGAAAAGAAAAGGAATACGTTGGTACACAAAAAATATTTCTTATTTCCTTTATGGTCAATGATTGTAAGAAGTTTTTTTTTTCATTGTTGTTCATTGAATTATATATTTTATTATTGATGCTATTATTTTTTGTAGGTGTTATCCTCAAGCCTAGTGAGGAAGATCAGCAGAAATGACAAGATGTCTGAGCGAGCCATCCTGGTGACAGACAGACAGATCTGCAAACTGCACAGCAAGACTCACGCCTTTGGGATCCCCCATTCCAGGAGGTGAGAATTGGCATTTTTTCTTTCCTTCTTTTCTTTTCTTTTCCTTGCTGCTTTTACTTCTTAACTTACTTTTTTGGGCGTAATTTTTCTCTTATTTTCACTGTTACATTCATCTTCTCGTTTCCTTTCTCTCTCACATTTTCTTTTGTTTCTCTCATTTTCTTTTCCTTTTCTTTCTCTGATGTTTAATTTTTCTCATTTTCATTTTCTTTTCCTTTTTATGTGTGCATGCGTGTGTATTCTCATTTCCTTTCTTTTTTTTTATTCCCATTCCCGTTTTCCTTGTCAGTCTCACTCCCACTCTCACACTGTTTCTGTCTTCTCCCTTCCCCTCCCCTCCTCCTCCTTCCCCCTCCCTCCTCTTTCCTTCCCCTTCCCTCTCCCTCTATGCAGTTGTTAATTGAGATAATGTTATATTTTCCTTGGCTATTTTTAGATAGAATTACTCATGCTCTGGATTAGAAATTTCACCAGCTGTCCATTCTCTCATAACTTCATTAGTTGACATTAACAACATGAACAATTTCCACAAAATAGGTGAGTGGGATCAGTGTGAGCCCAGGACAGGACTAGCTGGTGACCATTCCCTTGCGAGGAAGCAACGACTTTGTGGTCTCCCTGATGTCCCAGTCAGACGCCAACGGGGTGGGAGAGCTCACAGGACTCCTCCTCCGGCAGTGCCAGCTGTGAGTTGCTGTCATGGTCCTTTCATTGCATTTTTCATGTCATGACATGTAGTCCCGTTACCTAAGGGCCTAGGTAGACTAAGGTTTGCGAGTGTTGCTGATCAATCATTTTTGAAAAAAAGAAATCCCCAAGTTGATCAGTCATTCTTGCAGGTACTCATTTTATTTTGATCGGTTATTCTAATAGGGAACTTGCAGTGTTTTAGTGTTGATGACCGAGTGATGCTCATTCGTAGCGCAAGTCTTGGCAAAGTCGCCCAAGCTGGACTCATCCTTGGATTTTTTTTATGAGCCATATGGAAGGCTAATTGCTGCAGCCTGGAAGGAAACGAAAGTGGGAACTTTCCCGGTTTTTAGGTAAATTATTATATTATATAATACTTCAGCTTTTTTCACCGTAAGACCATGTGGCTAGATAATAAAAGCCATAACAAGAGAAGGGAAGCCATAAAAAGTCGTAATGTTTGTAGGTACACAGTTACCTTTAAGATTTTACAGTACCCATATGGTGCTTAGATTCAAGGTACACACATAGTTACAATTAATGAAGTTTGGTTAAAAAGGGTGCAAGATTTGACTGTCACGGATCTCGGAACCAACCAGGTAATATATATTAGAAGTTACAGCACAAAGTACTACTCGGATCATTCTTTTTAAGAGGACTGTCATTGTGGGTTGTGGCCATAAATTTTATACTCTTGAACGCGTGGAAATACACCCCTATGAGCAATAGACCCCAAACATGTTAACTTTGTGGGAAGACGGGAATGGCACTGCAACTGATTGTTCCAAAAATTTTACTTCTTTTCATAGTATGTTCGTTCTGGTAAATATTAGAGTATTTTATCACGGTCTTTGAGTATTTTATCTCAACATGACCTTTTGGTATGATTTGCAATATGTCCAGCCTATCTCTTTTTATCTGCAGATGCACCCCTTATAAGTCTTGGCTCTTTGTTGTAGTTTTAATCTCTTAAATATCTCTTTGAATAGTGCACAGCATCTTTTGTAGCGTACTTTTGCTGAAGGTAATATCAACCCTTTTTCTTTCGTTGCAGTGCAGGAAGGGCACAAAGCGAGGTGAGCTCATCTACTCGTGGCCATTCCTCCACCTCCCCAGACCAGCCTTCACCGCCAGGCTCCCAGCCCCCCATTAAGGCCCCCGCCAGGAGCCAGTGGTTATGGCAATGGCAATGATCATGGCTATGGCAGTGGACACATCAAGGGCGGCAGTGGCTACCACAATGTTGACAGGAACAGCAACGGAAATGGCCATGTCTATACCAGTACAGGAAGATACTGAGTTCAGAATGTCACCACCTTCTATCAGGAAACGGTGGTGGTGACTAATGTTTGTTATGGGAGTGAAGATATTAAAGTGTGCCTTATTTTTCATTGTAGCTTCAAGTTTGTGATTGGGATTATTTTGAGATCCCATTCCTGTTTTTTCATTATCGTTTTTTCTCCTTATTGTCATTGATATCTTTTTTCTTTCTTTTTTGTAAGATGTGTCTTCCTAAAATCTCCCCCTTGTCTATATGCTATGAAAGTGTTCTGTTTCTAAATCTGTGTGTTATTAGTTTTGTGTTAGGACATGATTTGTTGTGTGCTATGTAACCCTGTAAAGCTTGTAAACCACCAGTATATTTGTTAACAGCACAGGTGGTGGTTTGTATGATTTGTTTTGTACATACTTAGACATAGCAGTTTAATGACTTTGAATTTAATATTAAGAATTTCCTGATTTCTTTCATTAATTTGCCTTTTTTACGAAGTTTATGAATATAACAGTGCTTCTTAAGCTGAGAATTTGGCATATAGTGTTGGTCCAAGAACCAGCAGATTCTCGTGTCTTATGGGAGAAACTGGGTAGAACCTGATTGATTTGATATAACAATTACCATATATTAGCATTTACTTTTTGTGTTATATTTCCTTCCTCATAGCTCATGCATTTTAATGTTTCATTTGTTTGCTTCATTCACCACTTATTCGTTTGGTCAAGTCTTTCCATAATGTAGTGCTATACATTGCATTTCTCTCTGTTATATATGATATTGAGAAAGCCATCCTATAATAGCTATAGAATGAGGCTTTTAGTGTTTTACTTGTAGTCCAGAGACAGGTCCAGATCTTGTAGGCCTATTTTTGAGATGTAGTGTTATATATAGCTGCTAGTTAGCTTTTTTTTTTTATATAAACAGGAGTTATAGCAGATTTTTTTTTTCATTACTATTGTTATATATATGTTCTAACCATGTCTTTGTTTTCCCCACAAAGATACTGCTGCTATCTGCTGTCTCGACTCACTTTCCATTAGTCGTAAAGCAACTTGCATGCAACTACCTATGGTCAGTAGAATTGTAACTGATTCCCTTGCTTGTGTTTGCAAAAGGGCCTAATGGCAGTGCATAATAGGTCAGTTATTTTGAATAGTTAATCTTAGGGAGTTTGAACGAGAACTAGAAAGAGTCATCGGATTATTTTTCATTTTTTCATCAGTTGAAGAGTATCTATAGCAAGACTGGGAATGTAATGGTACTTAAATAGCGGGAGAGTTAGTCATGTTTTATGACTTTATATTCATGCTAATTCATTATCTGTCTTTATTATTCTTATTATTTTTGTATGGTTCTTAATATTCTCTTTTTTACCAGAATATATTTTTCTAGTTTTTCTGTTGTTTTTTTCTGTGAAAAGCAGATGCTATATGACCTTTTTAATGAAGAGAAGTGTACTGTAGAAAAATTGTTATTGAAATGTTACACTGAGGTTTTGATTTGATAAAGGCAAAGTGACCCACGGTATCATGTAAATTTTAGTATCTTGTTTGCTTTCAGAATTGAATTGGATGTCTTTTTGTGTTTCTTTAGTTGAATGCTTTGGTTGTTCTTTTCTCATGTTTTGATTTTCTTCACATTACTTGCTATTCTTTAGAAATGTATTACCAAGTACTTATCGTTGCAGTGAGGAAGATTGTACAGCTTATCGCAGCTTCAAAATACAAGATCAGTAAACTTTGAAAAGAGAAAAGGGGACTTATGCACTGTCTATTTTCTTGTTATGTGAAATGTGGAATATGTACACTGAATGGATTTGACAGAAAAAAGATGTTGCTGATGTTAAAAGAGTGAAAGAAAAGCAACAAAAATATCTCTAATGAGTGAATTTGTAAGTGTGCGCCATTGATGGGGGAGGATTTGAGGAGCGAAAGGTCATGCATCACGTTTGAAATATTGCTTGAGAAGTTCCCTCTGTTTGGGAATGACTGCGTGTAGTGTTTCAGATTACCACATTGAGAAATCCCGAGTGTATTCTTCTATGGTAACATTGTGGTTGCCTAATCCCTTTCCATGTACAGGACAGCATTTTCTTTCATAGGTTATATGACAAACTAAAGCTTTTTAATATTTTATTTTGTTTTTTGAAACAGTTGATGTGAGGAAGCAGTATGCAAGTAAGATATCAATTATCACACAAGTTGTGTACATAAATGCACATACCCACACACACACAAACAGACATACATATTTACACACATACATACATCTATGCATATACACATGTAGGCAAGGGTTTGTGAATGTTCTCTGTATTAACAGACCAAAGTGTGAAAGACGGCCAGTCCCTCTAACAGCAACTAGATGTCAGGCATTGCTGATGCCTTAACAAACCGTATGCAGAGATGATACACTTTTTGAGTGTTGCCAGTTTATTGGAATATTGTATATTACATAGA